AAGAGGCAGGTGGCTCGTTACTACAACAAGAAGATGCGTGCCCACGGGATCATAGAGGGCGCCCTGGTCCTCAAGCGTGATTTTCGTGCGGATGACCGCGAGGGGAAGTTGGCACCAAAGTGGAAAGGCCCATACCGAGTTCGAGAGATGGTAGGACCCAGCACGTTCACATTAGAGCATACCAACGACAGAGTGGTGAAAAGGACATGGAACGCGCAAAACCTGCGAGTTTACCGTGCAGGCGTCGCACCAGAGGAAGACGCCTCCAGTTAACAAGGGTTGGAATTGTGTTGTGACTAAAAGCGCTCGTCGAAGTAGCGCCGTATCGTGTCCAAAGCTCCCAGTGATCTAGCGCCCCAATAGTGACTTTGTGTTTGCTTACGTCATTTCGTTTTAAGGAAAAGTGCCCAGTTTTGCGCCCGGTAATTTCGGCTAGCAAAAACGCCCGATCTTGAGACCGAACGTGGGTTAAGGGAAATCGGTAAAGCGCCCAATCTCGCGCCCAGTAATCTCGGGATAGCAAAGACGCCCAACTTGGAGGTTGATGGCGAGTCTAACTGTAAAAAGTTAAGAAAAATCAGTAAAGCGCCCCGTGTCGCGCCATTAGCAAAGCGCCCCAATATTGCGCCCTAAGTCAGAACAATAACGCGCCCAACTTTCTGCCCAATAACCACAAAGCGCCCTCATTTTTTGCTCCCCTATAGGACCAATCTAAGTTAAGTAAACGATTCAAAGGCCCCAAAATACGATGCAATCACCAAAAGAAACGTCTTTATATATATAAGAAATAAAAATAAAAATAATACAACAGAATTCTACTTAAATGGCGCCCATTCTTCACTCTGCTCCAGAGTTGGCATCTCCAGCACTTGGCGCCTTCGGAGAAGGCGAAGCAGGAACGGACCCACTAGGAGGCGCATCGGCAGCAAAAGGTTCGGGTGCCCCTCCCGTTCCGCGGGGAGTCTCCAGCCCCCCGATCACATACTCGGCCATCTCCGTAAGGTCCCAAGTATGGTCGGGGTGATCCTTCATCAACTTCACTCTCAAAATCTAGAGGCCGGTCAAGATGGCGTTGGCGCACATCCCCTTTCTAGCCAAAGACTCCTCGAAGGTGTCCAAAGAGTGGCGCAAGGTAGAAATTTTCTGCCGGGCCTCCTTCAAGGATTTCTTGTTCTCCTTGTAGGCGTCTTGCCAACTCTTCTTCTCCTCCTTGAGGATGTCTATCTCGTTGGCTTGGGCGCCCGCCTCCTGCGCCAACGCCTCCTTCTCGGCCTGCAGGTCCGCCACCTTTCGGCGCTCGTCATCAAGGGCGCCCTGAAGTCGCGACACCTCCAAGGTCGCGTTCACCTGCGCCTCCTCGCACTCCTTCGCCAACTGCTCGCGACGTGCGGTCGCATTCTCCAAGTCGTGCTTCATGGAGGGAGCAGAGGTAGAGGCTTCGAGCGCCTCTCGGGTCTTGTCATTGAGGCGCCGGGCGCCTCTCTCAGCAAAAAGAAGGATCTGCATACATAAGGAAGGAAAGATTAGCATTTGTACAAAAGGCAAGGCAATTCCGCAAATAGGGGAGAACAAAGATAAGAGTAAATACCTTGGCGCCCACTTGGGCCAGTTCGGCGAAGAGATGATCCCCATTCACCTCCGACGGCACTTGCCACTTCTTGGCAGCCGCAATCGCCAACCCCATGGCGCAACCTCGGTCGACTGCCGACAGGGGAGAGCAAGACAAGTCGATGCGCCCAACATCAGAGCGGCGCGGCTGAAACATCGGAGGGCGCCCATCGGGGCCCACATAGCGCCCCTTTCGTTGAGGTGATATTGGGCGCCTTCCCCATCACCCGAGGCTTCGACGCCTTCTTTCTCCTTGCCCCCGTCAGCCTTTTTGCTGGCATGGGTTAAGGGGGAGCCAGCTCGTTTCCCCCGACGAATCAGGGGTTCAGTCTCTTCTTCCCCGGAGGTAGCCTCTTGTTCCACCGGTTCGGCATCAGGCGCCCCAACTCCCACTGCCTCAAGAAGGCGCTTCCACTCTCAAAGAAAGAGTCCCGGTAGGCCTTCATGAAGAAAAACCCATCGAACCAGCGACGCCCCAACTTCGGACACCGTTCAACAAAGTGAAATGAGCGCTTCTTCCTCTTCTGAAGCGACAAACAGTTGTCAAGGGCCGCCATCTTAAAAAAATACCTGAACAAGTTGAAGGTAGGCTCCACGTTGTGTTCCCGACACCTTAACTTGAACAGGATCACGATCACAATGACCGAGGGGGACAGGCGCCCTAGTGGACAACCACAGGTCTTCAGGATCCCTTCCATAATGTGGTCGAGGGGAAACCGCAATCCGAAGCGGAAGTATTCTTGGTACACCCCGATCCACTTTGGCCCACAGACGCCTACTCGCGAAATAGCAGACGGAGGCGCATACCACCAATCACGCGGGAGTTGGAGGCTAGTCACTAGCTCATGGACGCGGGCCAGGGTGACGGTGGATGTGTGCTGTGGCCCGGCCACGTCAAAGGACAACTGGGACGTCTCCGTCGGAAGATGGTCGGGGGGAAAAGTGTTCTCCCATGTCGAGATCTTGTAGGACCCGTCCGCGGGCATGAACCCTGGAGTCGAGGCGCTCGAAGGACCAGCGGATGTAGAAGCAGGCGCCATCTCTAAACCAACAAACGACCCAGGCGCAATGTGGACGCGGAGTAAGTGACGCCCTACCCTAGATTACTAGAATAAACTAATAAGAAACAACAAGCGATAGAAGATTCCTTATCGCTTTGAGTCGGACGCCTAACTTCACCGCCTGCGCCCGAAGCGCCTGCACCAGATGCACCAGCGCCGGAGGCGCCTTGTCTGACAGTTTTGTTTTGTTGTGGGGACGACATTCTCGACTGACACGAAGAAAGAATGTGACGATTGCAAAGTCTGACAGGAGAGAGGGCAGAGCAAATCTAGAGAGGTCAGAGCGAAGTCTTAGAGAGAAGTCAAGTTGTAGAAAGTGACAGGAACTAAAGGGGGGAGGGGGTATTTAAAGGAGAGGAGGACCCCAGCCGGATCTCGTGTCACGCGCCACGTGTCAATATCACGGGCGGGCTCTTCAGCTTCCCCCCACCTTTTCCTTTTTTTGAAAATTCCGAAATTCGAATTTCGAATTTTCTGAATTCGAAATTTGAAATTTCCCACTGTTCGAGAACGAAAAACGTGGGGCCCACATCAAACCCCGCCCGCGAGGGGGGCATAAGGGGATAGGAGCATCCCCCCACAGATAGCTTCCACGAAAAGGCACACACAAACCATCATCAAAATCGGGGAGCCTACTAGCATGGAGTAAAGGCGCCTACAAACCTAGTATAGAGTAGAGGCGCCCACAAACCGCAAAGAAAAAACTCACATAAGGGCGCCTGTAAACAAAAATGACACTAGGCCACAACATAAGAGTCAGTTAGGCGCTCGAAGGTGGAGCCGCGAGCACCTAACTGGGGGGGGTGGCAATTGTTGGGGGTACTATCCACCAGCCAGTGTGCTGGGTCTCCATGCAACAGAATTGGGGGGCAAGGCCCACGAATGGGCTGGTGAAGCATCCCTAGGCCCCAAGAGAGATAAGGGGCGCATGTGGACAAAACACTAAAAGCCATAGGAGGCCAGGTTGTCAGGTGGTCCACAGCCGACAGGCGCCTGCCAGCGTGTCAGAAGCCTGACAAGGTGGTTGAGATATCTGACAAGGAGGGTACAAGTCATTAAATGGAGACAGTGACGTGGAGGAGATCAACCTCGAGCTCGGTGAGTATAAATAGGGGCAGTTGGTAGCATTTACACAGGTTGGACTCTCTCACTAGAATTCCTATTTCGGGACACTTCCCTCTCTAAGGAACTAACTTGGGCGTCGGAGGATTAACGGGCCCAGGCGTCCTCCTCTTTGTGTGTGTAGGCAGGCGCCAGACGAAGTGAAGTTTAAGGAGAATCGGTGGGTATGGTGGCTCAAACATTTTTATTTATTTTTATATAAGGGTACTCGTGAGCGTGGAGTATCCCAATGGATTCCATTTGCCGGAAGAGACTGAGAATTTGACGTGTTGTTGTAATAAAAAGTAGAAACAGGACGACAGGACGAGTTGATGTTCCACTTGGGATACACATTTTAGAAATGCTTCCGGGTTAAAGAAAGGGTTAATACCTTATTTTGGCCCGAACTATGACTATATAATCAACTTTGGCCCGTGGTTTCAGAAATTAACATCCTGGCCTTAATTATGCAGCATATAGACTCAATTGGCCCGACACATAGTTTGACCGTCAATTTGGACGGTCAACTCCGTTGACCGTTAGTCAACACGCCATGTCATTGTCTAGTCAGCCTAAAAATCATTAAAAAATGCAAATTTCAAATTATTTTTCTAATTTTTCTTATTATTATCAAATTAACCAAAAATAAATTCTAAAAATATAAAATAATTTTTTTGTGATATTTGAAAATGATAAATTTTATAAATTAACCAAAAATTATCAAATTATTTTATATTTTTAAAACTTCCCACAAAAATATAATTTATATCATAATTTTTAAATTTATAAAATTTAATTTGATAATTTTTGGTTAATTTATAAAATTTATCATTTTTAAATATCACAAAAATATTATTTTATATTTTTAGAATTTTATTTTTTGGTTAGTTGGAAAATGATAAATAATAGAAATTAGGAAAATAATTTGAATATAAAATTTTTTAATGATTTTTAGGCTGACTAGGCAATGACATGGCATGTTGACCAAATTGACGGTCAAACTATGTGTCGGGCCAATTGAGTCTATATGCTGCATAGTTGAGGCCAGAATGTTAATTTTTGGAACCACGGGCCAAAGTTGATTATATGGTCATAGTTCGGGCCAAAATAAGGTATTAACCCTTAAAGAAACTAGCAAATGGAACACACAGTTTGAAAGGCTGTTTTCGTGGCCAATAGAATATCGGCTTCTACAAAGCTTTCCAGATTCTTGAAACTACCGAACTAGCAATTCCATTGATCTGTACCTTCCACGCTTTTTGGAGAAAGAAAACGATAAGAAGAGAGTTGAAGTACAACAATTCTTGGCTAAGCTATGGGGACAACTTTATTTCCATGTGAACAGAGGAATGCAAAACAAGTTTCGGGATCCGCCAGTAAAGTGGCAGAGCAGTATAAAGAGTCTGAGTGAGTTCGTAAAACATGAGAGCCAGAGGAATTTACTAGTCTACATCTTACAATGTTAGCATTCTAAGCTACTGCACTCTGTTCTTGATGCTCCGGAACCCATTCACGAGGCCACCATTTCGGTCTAAAAGCTTCGACCTTTACATTGTTCTGACCCTCTACGGCCAAAGGACCTGATCCTTTGAGTGCATCATCCAATCTCAAAAGTCCGAGCCCTCGGCAGCCAATTGTTGTCGTCACAGATCCTATTTTCTTGCCTGAACTGGCATTGATCACTTGAGAACCGGGAGAAACTCGCTGTTCCACCTCTGGGGAGAAAACAAAGGAAGTAGTAACACTTAAAAAAAAGAGAGGAGATATTCAGTTGTAGCCAGAGAAGCAAATCACTTATTGAACGTGAAGTTCAAACCTTTTCCATCGTTGTTAACAAACTTCAAAGGAACCAAGCGTTTACGAATGACCCCTCTGTGGTGTGTCCTGGCCACAAGTTCCTGACCCACATAGCAACCTTTATCAAAGCTTATTGCATTTAATCCCACGAGGTTGAATTCAAGCGGAATGGCCTCGCCTTTTGGTATCTCGGATGAGCCTTCTGCAACTCCATTCTCGATTCTCCATTCTAAGTAGTTTTCCTCATTTGTTTCCTTATCAGCTTCAACTAAGGGTGCTGCAGTAGAATCAGCAATTCTGTCAACTAAGCATCAGGCTGCTCGATATCGATCAACGCATGTCCTGATAATACGAAAGACTCACGGGTTGTATTAGTTGGGAAGATCCCTCTCAAACCAAGGCAATCCAGTCTAGGATCCTTGAACCATTGGCATCCACCATCACTGCCATGTGAAGCTGATATACCAGCAAGATCAACACCAGATCCCCATCCAAGACCTGCTGCCCCTGGCTCTTCTACTTCACTAGATTTCTCGCTGATATCTCCCCCAAATCGCTGCCAGCATTGAAAGTCTTCCCCTACATTCTCAATCTCAACCTTAGACCTTAGCCGGTACCTGCCAAATCATAACCACCAAACATAGCTCCCTAACATCATCACCTAGCTACCACCATTTTCCCACAACACAATGAAGAGCATTCAGAAAGATTCAATAAATCTACACCTAACAAAAGAAACTTCCCTACAAACTTCTAAGAAAATCCAATGGTATTCAATCATTCTAGACTAACCTAAGGGAAAGCTGGAGCTGACCTTTTTAAGGTTCCCAAGAGCTCATCCAGAGCGGAAGCATCCACATCGGCGAACAATTCGGTCGAATCAGTGGAGCCCGGACCGGGACCCGAACCCGTCGGGTCAAGCTTCTCGGCCTCCTTCGCGGGCCTATAGAGAAAGAAATCGTACAGAAACCTGCCCTGGGGAGTCAGCAGGGCGGCGTACATCGGCGGCTCGGAGACGGCGGGCATATTCGGAGTGGGGATTGTCGCGGTCCGCTCGTGCAGTGGCTCGCCAAATCTCCGGACATCGTTGGTGAGCAGTCCTTGGAGGAATTTGAGGGTGTCGGGGCCGGAGAAGCGGACTACCGACCGAGATTTGAGGAGGGAAGTGACAAGACCGGCGGAGTTCACGGCGCTGGAGTGGGAGCGACGGCCGGCGGCGGCGAGGAATGTTTTCGAAGAACTAAACTGGCGCATTTTCTGACGACGTTCTGGGCTTGGACTGCGGGAGGAATGGACGGTGGGAACTTGCTCCGTAGGAAGTTAGGCTTGCACGTAGGGATGGCAATGGGTAGGGTCGGGTGCGGGTTTACCCTATACCAACTCCTAACCCGCCGGGTAGAGCTTTCTAAAATACCCGACCAAATAACCACCGGGTATGAAAATTATATAACCATACCCTACCCACCGGGTAACCACGGGTATTCGGGTAACCATGGGTACGAATCCTAAACTATGAACTTATACACATATATGCACATACGTACTGTTGTCCATTAAAAATTCTAAATACTTCTAATTGTTCTAGTTTCAATAATCCACACAAATAAAAACAACAAAAACATAATAATTGTTCTTGCTTCTACAATCCACACAAACATAATAATCGTCTACATCATCATCAATAATGGTAGCTAAACTAAATTTCTCAAGCTAAACTAAATTTCTCAAGGGAAATTGACCATTTAGTAAGCGGGGCGGGTATAACGGGGCGGGTATTATCGATTACCATACCCGTACCCTACCCTTTATTTTGAAACCGGGTATTACCCGTACCCGCCCCTTAACCCGTCAAAGCGGGTAATTACCCTCGTTGACCGGTTACGGTCGGGTAGGGTACCCATGGTTACGGGTTGGATTGACATCCCTACTTGCACGAGCTAGGGGTGTTAAAATGGTTTGGTTACCATGGTAATCGTTTTAACCGGTACTATTTGGATAATTTAGTTTGGTTAATTTAGATAATTGGTTTGGTTTGGTTAAAGTTTTTAGCTTGTTTGGTTTAGGTGGTTTGATTTGGTTTCAGACACTCCTAACCAGTCAAACCAAATTAACCAGTTAAGTAATTAGTCATATATCTAACATATATTATATACACATACTTAATATTTTGCATAACCACTCAAGAGTTAACGTTCATCCCTTTTAAACTCATAAAATATAAAGCTCAATATTGCTCATATAGTGTATATTTGTATATGTAAAATGTAGACCACAACATATGGACGCCTAATTTAGATAAATTTCATACATTATGATGATGAAAACTTGAAAAGAAGGTTATTTCCAGCATATGATAATTGCTAAGAGACTAAGTCAATTTACACAAACACAACAATTCATTAACCCATACCATTGTCATAAATTTTTGTTAGGTGAATACTTCTATACTAATCGTAAGATAATTGTCTTAGTTGCATGTATTTTTGTTAAGGGTCAACTATAACTACGTGTTGATTGTTATGTTTTATTCATTATATAAATTTCGAATTGTTGCATTAACCGAAAAAATTTCATCGTCAATGATAATGTAATTTTATATTGGTTAATCTGGTTAACCAATTAACCAAACCGATTAAACTTTAGTTTGGTTAATTTGGTTGTTGTATTAGTTTAGACGGTTTGGTTATGATATTGTATTCCATGGTTAATGAAATTTAGCCTTATTTGGTTTGGTTATAACCATGGTAACCATTTGAACACCCATAGCACGAGCCACGTGGAGGTTTGGGGGTCCTCCGTTTTGATTACCACGTGGAGCGTTTAGGGGACGTCAGCTAGAAATGGACGCCATCTCGGGATTCCTCCGTCGACGAAGAGGGGTAAGAGACTCATAGGGTGGGCAATGGAGGGTTAGGTGGGTTTTGGTTTTAAATTGACTCATCCGCTTACTAACGAGTTGGAATAATTGTGACCCGTAATTCACATACATATCTCTGCAGATTGGGTTGGGTGGGTGGCGGATGAGTGCGGTTGGGTCGTGGGTCAACCCGCAAAACCAATTCTCCAACTAGTCATTAAGAAAGTTGACTAACATTTATAATAAATTTATAGCATTTGGTAGGGGGCTTGAAGCAACGTCATCCTTCACAGGTGTTGGGTGTTGGGTTTGAAGCATGGGGTCCAAAGTTCAATTCCCCTTCTTCTCCCTTGAAAAATTGCATTTTTTGACTTGGTCTAACCTTCCAAGTGGGGTCAATTGACCCCACAACCAACAACATGGCTCCGCCAATGACCACAGGCAGCTCGGCGATCGTTCATAATGGGGGTGTTGGCCTTCAAGCTACGGACTCTGCGCAGCATTTGGGGGCAGGGTCTTCGCCTAGGCGAGTCTTGGATATGAAACTCACTCGACTGCGGTTGTTGTGAGAGAAGAAGATTGTGGCAAGGCTGGCAGAGGTGGCGATGTCGGCGAAGGTTCGGGCGACACAATGCTAGTTCCGACGCTCCTCATCGCACAAGAGAGGAGTGGGTTCGTGGGTGAGATGTGGATTCGTGGGGAGGCCGTTAAATTAGTATTTGTATTAGTATTTGAGTGAATATTGATTAAACTGCCCTTTATTTAATTTTGAACATACGATTATTTTTTAATCTAATGATTATAAGGTTAATTAAAATGTTACTAACTCTTAAAGAATTAGCAATTAATCCCATTCCTCTACAATACACTAAATTCGTCTATAATATATAATAAATATAATACATGTATGAACCATAATACATCCAAAGAGTCACATTTGTATTGCAGCTTCATTACATTTGTTGTGGAATGAGCTTGCAAGTGTATTTCAAATTTCCCGCATCAAAGTGAAAGTAGAAAGAGTAGATTCGTTTTCACAATCATTATTATTATTCTTATTTATAGAAAAAGTACATCAGTAATGAGATTTGAACCGTGATTTCTTCGAACAAAGGTAAGAAACATAACCAATTACAATAAACACATTTGTGTGATCTTATTCAATTAAAACGACAAAGAAGCTTAAATATGACAATTCCTAGGGCTTTTCCATCATGGTTAGCAAGCGAAATATCATTGATTCAAATATTGCATATCAAATCACACTCTTGAATGTGTAGAAGCGATGTAGAATTTTTAACATAGACTTAATTGTTATAACTATCATAAAGTAACAATATTTTTAAACAAAAAGTGAATATGGGGTACATGTGTCTTTAAGAGGGGTAAATATGGAAAGGTTGAGTGATGTTGGTTTGCCGAACGCGGATGGAAAAGACACTATTGATGTAAACGGGCACAAGTAGTGCCCCGACCCACTAAACGCTCAACCAAAGCAGTTAAAATCAGGATTTTACCTAAAATCGAAAACTGGGGTAAAATCGAATCGTAGAATCGTAGGATTTTAAGTACCATATAGAAATTAATATATAATAATATTAATAAGATAAATAATTAAAACACAAAGACTTATAACATTTAAAGTTATAGTTTTCAAGATTAATGTTCCAAAATCATCATTTTAATTGTTATTTAATGCATAACTCAAAATAATTTATGAGGAAGGGATAGAGATCATAGGGGTTGGCTCTTTTTTTTCAAGTTGTGTCTAGGTAGTTTAACTCAAAGTAGTATTCCGGCATCGTTTACTAATTAAGCATGATTTAAAACTAAGAATAGGTGAACTCCATTAAAATAATTAATATTAGGGGTGGTAGTTTAGTTATTTCGGTTCTTACCGGTAATCGATCGACCGGTTATCGATTAACCGAAATAACGACTCCCCCTATCGAAAACCACCCGAAATAGGCTTCGGTTTCTCTGTTATCGTTTAACCGAACCACTTTTACGACCAAAAACCATTTCATGCAGCCTTTGATAACCGACCGAAGTTCGGTTACTTCGGTTATCAGTTAGTGGATAACTGGCCCGTTATCGGTTTAACTGGTCGGTTAATCGATAACCGGTAACCGAACTGCCACCCCTAATTAATGTCATTGGTTTGGTACAAATATATTTATTAATCAAATCAAGGTTCAAGAAGGCGCGCCTAGGCGCACGCCTAGGCTCAATTAGGCGCTAGGCGGTGGAGGATCGCCTTGACTTGGCCATAGGCGTTGTAAAAGGCGCTGGTAGCGCTTAGTAGGTAGGAATAGCGCTTATTTTGCGCCTAGTGGAGAGAAGGCGTGCCTGGGCGTTCCTGGGCGAGCTTAGGCGGTTAAACCCCATACTCTTCGTTTTGTCCTAGAAAATCAGAAAATTGCCTCTTGCCCTAGAAAATCAGAAACATGGGAAGGGGATGACCATGCTATGTATGTATCCGTAGATGAGGATGAGGAATCATATTGTGCACCCTCGAGTACTGTTACAGATGCAATGGCGGGTGAATAGAGTGAGCTTCGCAGGAGTGCACGAGTGAGAGAGCTCCATGGTGAAGAATTAGAGTCCGAAGAGGAGGAGGAGGATGGTGAGGCGATTGCTTTTGAGGATGATGAAGATGAAGTGGTGGCTGGACGAACCTTCCTTGAATGATGAAGAATGAACATTTCCCTATGAACCTTGAATCAAATAATTGGTTAATAATGATGTTAATTCTTACGTACTTACAATATTCGGACAATTGTTTTAGCGATGCGTTAAACAAGTAGAAGGAAAAAGGGTTGACCGAACCCTAATTAGTTTTTTTTCAAATTTTCTTTTAATAGAAAAAATATATGAGAAGATCCCCATCATTGCCCTTTCCACCGAAAAAGTTATGCTTCTTTTGAATTGGCTCAAGCTCCCAATTTTGTTCACATAGGATCAAAATCCCGATTTTTGTACGATTTTATGATTTTAAAGATTTTAATTTCGATTTTGAACGATTTTAAGGTCCACCGATTTTATAGTAAAATCAGGATCGAAATCCCTAAGTAAAAGCCTAAAATCCTATGATTTTACGATCAAAATCCCGATTTTGACTGCATTGCGCTCAACCATCGCCGTCTTTCTAAACTTCCCATCAGACTCAACAATTGGCTAACCTCATCTACCTCTGTTGTTATGCCAGAGCAATTTTGGAGGGATAAATATCGAAAGATTGAGTGTTGTAGGTTTCTCCAACGCGGATGGAAAAGATGCTACTAATGTAAACGAGCCCAAATGGTGTCTGGCCGACTAAACGCTCAACCACCCGAGTTACTGCCGCTACACCTAATATAATAGTGAAATGGGAAATGAGTCTCCCCCATTACAAAATCCTTGCATCCAATGTAAAAGCAGGAAAGGTAGATTCGTCTTCACTGTCATTTATTATTATCTTATTTACACGAAAAATACATAAGTGATGAGATTTGAATTGTGATCTCTTTGAGAAAAGACAAGAAACATAACCAATTTCGCTAAACAAATT